GCTCACCAATTCTCCTCGAGTTATGAAGCTGCAGGATGCCTCACCGCTACTTCGTTTACTAATACAAGAAACACTGATATTCTAAAGATCGCACTATTGGAGGCGTGATTACATGAGCAGCAAGCCGCGGCAATGTGCAATGTTTGTGAGTACTCGTAGATCTGCTGTACTCAAGCATTTGGTGTCCAACGCCCAGTGTTTCAAATTGTATGATGATTCCTGCTTCAGTGTGGTGTGCCATGCTAGTAGTTTTCGTCTACTCTCCGTATTAGAAGCCGTGTTTATTCGTACTCGTGATCCAGATTTATGCAAGCAGAAAGAATTCGTTACAGCACTCACACTTTAACATACCAACACTCACATACCAACACCCACATACCAACACTCACATACCAACGCTCACATACCAACGCTCACATACATGTACCTTTCTCACATGCATTTCTCCAATCTACATTTACTTTCACACTGCTCGCTGCTCAGGTAATCACGCCTCCAATAGTGCTTGCTTTAGAATATCAGTGCTTCTTGTGTTAGTTTTAGATCTAACAAAGAAAACTGTGACATTTGGACTACTTTAGGAAAAATAGCTGTTGACCCAATAATAAATGTAGAAAGGAAAAGGACATATGGATACGAGTTACGAGTAACTCTCCAGCACTGTAACCAGATACTATTATACAGTCAAAAAGTGCAACAACTAGGCACAATTGGCAGGCTGTCGGTTTGCGCTACGGAGATGTGTTGAAGCTAGGCGTCAGGACGTCGAATGTCTCAGTACTTTTTCAGCTTTGTGCCTAGTTGTTGCACTTTCTGACTGTAGAGTATCTGGTTACAGTGATGGAGAGTTACTCTTAACTCGTATCCATATGTCCTCTTCCTTAAAACTTATTGACGTTTATATTTGCTATTTAAATCGGGTGGTGAGCCAATTAAATTATTGTGATAAGATCTGGTTACGTTGGTAGACAGTTAGTCATAACTCGTAACATTTTGTCCTTCTTCTTTCCACAATATTTGCTATTATTATTCATTCTCACTTTCTTTTGTGGGTGATACACATATGCAACGCGTATAATAGACCAATCCCGAAAAGATTGTCTGGGTTCGTGAAAGGGGGCACGCGTGCAAGCCAGAATGTGTGAAGTGCATCGTTTTGTATTCAGTTTGTGTGTGTGTCAGCTCATGGCGGACGAGAGAGAGACTTTTGCTCGCCGAGCTGAAGCGAAAGGATTTGATGGAGTCCTGCCAGCAGCTAGTCAAAGGACCTTCGGTACCTTAGGCAGACCCTGACGGAGTTTGGAGGCCAGCTAGCTCTCGTTGAGGAGAGAAACATTCGCGTGGCGATCGACTCTCCGTAAAAAATGCAAGCTACATACTGCAACAGCTACGATTTCAGCTAACTTCTCGATCTGCTGCTTCACATAGTTCAACTATTTACAAGTCCTGACTGTTGTAGTCTGAAGCTGGAGTCTCATCGCCCACCTACAGGTAGCTTTTGGAGCTGATGGATTTCCCGACTTGGACTCCTTCCGCAAACTCTCGCAACATTACTACAGTGTATGCTGTGTTTCCGCACGCTCGTGTCGACATGTCATCTATACTGTACATGTACCGGGTCGCGGAGGAGCTGGACGACCTCCGCTGACTCCAGGTTTCCGAAATACTGCCGTCGTCTTCGTTGATGTCGCTGGTGACATTCTCCCCTTGGAGGACGTGCGCATAGTTGTCGTCCCGGGGGTAAAGACTATGTTGTCTTTCGAAATAGTTCTTCATCACGCGCGAATGATGTTTCTCATCATGAACTCGTTCCGACGGTGTGACACGGCGATGACCTTTGGTGGGGCACTGGCTTAGCGAAAACGATATCTTCTTGTGCAATAATAACATTGATCGGCTGCAGATGAGTACAGTCACTTCGTGGTTGATCCTATAGGAGGGCAGCGGCCAGGAAAGAGGCAGGACTCATCGAAAACGAAGCGCTCGCAACAAACAATAGCACTCGAAATATCTCGTAAGATTTAGGGCCTATCGCTTTGAGCCACAGCGCTCACAGCCTTGCCTACTTCATCAAAGTGAGCTCTACGTGTTCGTTGACCTCTTCACACTAACCAGAAGAGCGAACTCCAACAGCAGCAACAGAACTTCAACTCCAACAGCAGACCATTACCAGTGCGAGAGAGAAAACTACAAAGGGCTTTGCTTTCTGTCGCATCGTCTCTTTTGCATGCGACTAACGAGAAAACCGTGTACTTACCCTCGCATTCACACGCGAACTATCAAACACGTCCTGTGCCGCATGCTGATCAGGTAGTGCCATGTATGTGTTGTACAGTGTACTCTCAGGTGACATGCCCCCTTTCGAATCCAGACAATCTTTTCGGGATTGGTCTATTCTCATACACTTGTTTTGTGCACACCTTTATGAAAAGTATCACACTTTGATATTTTAGTGCTGTGACTGTACCTTGCTACTCTAACTTGATTGCTGTATAATTTCCTTTGTTCTTATTTTGTTTTTTAATACAACGGTGATTCCTGAAGAGTGTGCGAAAACATGTTCGAATCATCTTTTTTCCCTCGCTTTTTCTCCTTACCTTTTAGACCATTTTTCGCACCGTCTCCAGAACTTGGGAGAATGAAGTTGAACACACCACTGCAGCTGTACCTATGGTTGATAAATATGGTGGTAAAGACACTCCTGGCAATATGGCGGTAAACACACGCCTGCCCACACACGCTCTCTAGGCTGCAAAGTTCTGGCACAGAGCTCTCCTTCTCACCACCACCACCGTCAGTTCGCGCCTGGCGCCTGGTCGATGCATGGCTGGCGGTATCCGGCATAGCAGGCTGGTACATCAAGTAGCGCATGGCACATAGATGATGACACAGCAACGACATAGCTCGATTGCGACGTACGTTTCGTCCCCGCTGGACTCATCAGGCAATCTTCTTCTACTGCAGTGGTGTCTTCAACTTCATTCTCCCGAGTCAAGCTCCGTATGAAGACATCCAAGAAGAAGATTGCCTGATGAGTCCAGCGGGGACGAAACGTACGTCGCAATCGAGCTATGTCGTTGCTGTGTCATCATCTATGTGCCATGCGCTACTTGATGTGCCAGCCTGCTATGCCGGATACCGCCAGCCATGCATCGACCAGGCGCCAGGCGTGAACTGATGGTGGCGGTGGTGAGAAGGAGAGCTCTGTGCCAGAACTTTGCAGCCTAGAGAGCGTGTGTGGGCAGGCGTGTGTTTACCGCCATATTGCCAGGTGTGTCTTTACCACCATATTTGTCTCCAGAACTTAACATTGTTTAATAAAGTAGTCCAAATATCACTTGAAAAAAAGTTCGTCCTTATTGCAATATTAAAAATGGTTGTCTCCACGTCGAATATTTAAAGGAGACTGTTTTAATTTTTCATCGAAAGTTCAGGAAAAGATAATAACCCATTCGTTTATTACGCTCCTGCGTGTAGCAGTTTAGCACTCTTGAGTGGGGTAGTGCCTTTGCTGTTTGCGTTCCTAACTTGTCAGTTTGAGCACTCTGACAAGTTACGTTCCGGCTTGGTTTAAATCTGGCTTTGGAAACTATTTTTTCATTGCTACCAGGTTCGCGCTCATTTCCGTTTGTGCTGCACTGATGGGTCCACAAAGGACGAAACAGTTCTGTCCGCAGATTGAGTATCATTCCATTCATATAGCCTTTTTATCAATTTTCGTTCGAAAGTACAAATAAGATATCACGAGGTTAGGGAGGGTTCCTCCCCAGAGATACAAGGAGTAACATTTTGAAACTTCACCTCCACGTAATCAATCACCACACATCTATGCAAGAACGGAATTCCTCTCTATGGTTTGGTGAATGTGGACCAAGAGCGCAGTGCGGAGAGGTGACGAATTTCAATTTATTTTCAAATGGCCGAGTTCGTCGCAACTTCTGAGTTATCTTCACCTTGCCGTTTAAGTAGAAGTAGTAGTAGTAGTATTTTACTTGGGTATACCCAACAGGCCTATGGCCTTCTGACAGGGTGCTCAAGGAGAAATTGTGAGCAGCTAGCGCGAAAAGCAGGCAAGGAACGCTGGGATCGTATGATCGCTGGTAGTTCACCAAGAGCGGTCAGCACCAAGAAATGAGAAACTGTAGAGGCCTGGCCGGGACATGAATAGGGGGAGAAAGAGACTACTGAATGTTTGGCCTCTGGTCTGGGAGGTAGTGTGGTAGCATCATTTCGGGGCGGGAAGATTTGTGAGGTGAGGGGACTGCCAAGGGACCTGATGCACCGAAAAGTAAAAATGAACAGCTTCAAATGTCGGCAAGAATCAAAACTGACTAAGTATGGTGCAACCTTCACATCCGCACACGTTATATTTATCTGTGGTTGCTTGAGTAATGCAAGCGGGACTCTAGTAAAGGCCCTGCAGTGAGAGTCGTCACAGACTGGAAAGAAAATCACATCCATGTCGAGCTAAGCAGGAGTGTTTGCGGGAGACCCAAGAACGCGACATAGGAGAACAAGCCACGGAATGTGAGTTTTACATATTGAAGATTTTTCCTGAGACTCTGCCAGGCAGAGTTTTCGCATCCACACGAGTGACAAAACTCTCCAGGATCAAGCCGTAGATCAGACCGACCATCAAGTAGTCAATGACCGAAAATCCCATTTGCTGCATCCATGTTTTCCTTGTGGCAGGCTACGAGTTACCAAATAACTGTATGGTGAACCACACTTCCCCCATCCGATATACATGTACGTGTAAGGGGAATGAAATTCGGAAAACTTGGCCTGTGCTGCTTTTTGGTTTTGTTGATGTCGTTTCTTTTCCTTTCAAGGAATCCTGATCCTGGCGTGCTTTGTGTGTGCAGACGCCGACAACATCAAGCTGGATTGAGTAGCACGGCCCCACCACCACTACCCGCATTTATTAGGAAGCAGAATGGACGTAACTCTGCTAACTTAGAAACATTGTTGAGTCACACTTACATTACAGCGTCACTTACCTTAAACTGAAGCACCATAGTGCTCGTCTCTACTGGTTGCAACACTGTTGAAAACCAGCACTGGTAAATGTTCTCAATTACAATGGTAAATTCAAATCCGGCCAACAAAACCCTATCGGAGACAACAGAAGGATAGGAACCATCGAGTTACCTTGAATCAATCACCATTCACCAAACAAAACTAACCAAATGTTTCCACATACCAGCTGTTGGTGAATATTCCAGGATCAATCGGGTGTAGCACACGGATCACGAAAAGGTTCGTTTGCCTTGCGAAAATGAGCGCTGCTTCCAGGAGCAAAGCCCTCAATGAAACAAATTAATTACTATTTGCTCGCTTTCTGCTTTGACTCTCTGCAGGTATATACAAAACACACGCACGAGGAGTGCCGTGATATCAGTCTATGGTACTCCGTAGCAGCTCGGTTGGCTGCTGCACGTAGATATCCTTTGCTGACCCACAAACACAAGCCTAGGAAATGAGCTACACGTACATGCACATGTACATGCACCCGAGACTAGATTGCTGATGTATACCAGGGCTATGGGTGACACGCAGTGGTCACATGCCAGTGCTACTGTACATGTATGATCGAAATGTCATGAGCTCAAACACACAAGTTTATCGATAACGTGACATGTCACAGGAATATTTCCTAACTATACATGGGAAAGGATAAGAAGCAATATGACGCCAATCAGAGAACATGGCAGGCTGCAACATAAGCAGTAGTCGAAAATAGCTCTTAGTCGGCTGAACTCAGCCTCACATGACTTTTACATTGCGCCTGCGGCAAACCCGTTTATCACTGCTTGTCATCAAGATGTCATTAGAAGAACAGCATGACATTGTGGAACATGCCAAACACATTCTTGCTAGTCGCTACATGTGCGTGCATGTGCGTGCATGTGCGTACATGTGCGTACTGTATAGGCGATGTACAAGAGCCCGAATGAGCCAGACTTAACCCAGTGAAGCCAAGTCTTACTAGGGCACTCAGATACCTGCAGGGTCGTGTCGAATGTATAGAGAGAGGGAGAGAGACATATGAGGCCCTAGCCTACATCAAACCGGTGCATTACCTTCGCACAACATAGTTTGGGACATAGCTTGAGCACATGTTCGCTTAGTCCACCTTCCCCTCTGCGCTCCGACCCCTATCTTGTATCTTCACTACACTGGGGAACACCATTTCGTTATTATCATTATTCCACGATCACGGCATGCTGTCGGTATGGAATTTCAGAAGGCAATTTTTGCAAACCACCAGTTCTCAAGTGGGAAAGGCCTTCGCGCTTATGGCATTGTATTCGTTGCAAAGTTGTATTGCGACTCCGCCATACCCCTGATGTTGCTGCATGGCATAGGCTATGTGCGCTATGTGCGGTTTGCAGCATACGCTGTCATGTCATGTTTTATATGTGTATGTTTTTGATACACATGTACACTGTTTTGCATGCTATAAATACCTGCTGTTATTAGTATTCATTGTTCATTATTTGATGAAGTATACTGTGGAAAAGAAAAGAGTTGCCCTCGTGCCGTGTGGTCGTTCGATCCTGACAATTTAGAGAATCTCAGAGGGTTCACAACATTTGGCGACCACGCCAGCATGTCAAATGTTGTGAACCCTCTGGTTCTCTAAAGTGTCAGGACCGAACGACCCCACACGGCACGAGGACAACTACTTATTCTCAACAGTATATTGACTTCGATCGAATCTAACAATAATGAATAACTAACACTAAAACCACCAGGTAGTTATAGCGTGCAAATGACAGCGTATATGAGAAAAGCATACACATACAACATACAGCACAAGTACAGCGCACACAGCAAACCGCACATAGCGCATGTAGCGTATGCCACGTCGTAAACATCAGCGGTACGGCGGAGTCGGGATACAACTGCATTGGACCGAACACAATGTCACAAGCGAGAAGGCCTTTCACTCTCGAGAACTTGTGGTTTCGCAACAGCAATATTGGTACATCAAGAGATGCGTTAGACCATCACATCATCCCCGATCATTGCGCTGGCAATGCCCAATGAGCAAAACATGTTTCACTTTTGAGCAGTGCTTGTACGTTTGTGATCTGCAAGTACAATTACAGGGCAGATATGTATTGAGGGCGTGGGCGGACGGGGGGAGGGTGAAGAGCCGGAACAGAGGAGCATCGACAATACACAAAGGCCTGAAACTTAGTGGATAAAGCATCACTGGCCTCTCGCAAGGGTTCCTGACCTGGCTGGAACAGTGGATTTCTCTACAGATTATTCGATTCTCATGCCCTCAAGATGGCGAGCGTTGCAGCCCTTGGCATTATCCGCCTGGCTCGTGAGTCACTGTACCTGCACGTGGTGATCTAATGTGCGATTTGACAGTCAGCTAGCCGTCTGGCAGGCTTCACACGCAACCACATCCATCTGGCGATGCCAAGACCTGCAGGTCGTCTGACCCGCACGTGTCCAACTCACTCCATCTCCTCACATGTCCTACCCACTCTATATGCTGGATATGTACATGGACTCTTGCACTCAGCTTCTCATTGTCCATCAAGAACGAGTGTGCTTTTGAAAACTCACACAATTCCCCTAGCCTGGGTGATACATAACACCGACGACAGGTAGACGCTGGGTATGTGTGTGTGTGTGGGGGGGGGGGGGGGGTTGCACCCTTTCGGGGTCCAGGCAGCGCACGCATACAACAAAATGCCCCTGATATGTTTCCCGACTTTACATGGGTGAATGGCCACTATACCAATCTGAATCACCAGAAGTCTGCGTCAAAGAAGTCGAGTTGTGGCTGTTGCAGCGCATGCCACTTGTTCATTGCACAACACAGCCTGTCACGGTTTTTCAGCAACATGCCTTCGGACAACCTACATGCCATGGTTAAACTAGCAGAGGAACTACTTGTGGGCCCGAACATGGGCACACAGGCGATGTGCAGGTGAGTAAATCACAGAGGCCGTCAAGTACAGACTAGTGCATCACTTATACAAATGGGTCAGACTAAAGTGAACTATTTACTGAAGTACTTGAACTACGACTGATCCCAGTACATATTGGACATGGGCTGACAGAGGTCATACCTTTCGAGTGTAGACATGGTAAATGGCATTACTGGCAAACACACACTGCTGCAACATTGATTTTGATGAACAACGGACAAAGGAATTTACCAAAGTCACATCTTTTGTTTTTATTTGTTTTATTCTCCTTCACAATATCGTGTTTCACTGTGTCCAAAAACGACACGAAAATGTGACGTTCAAGTACGATGTAAGTTTTCTGAAGTCCAAATGTAGGAGGTTTGATGATAGGTGTATAGTGGTTAATTCTAGGATAGCATGCACTTCAACCGTTATCCTACGGTACTGCTCTGTAATCCCTTGCTTTACCAGTAGACCGCAATTTCAGTCCATATTTGCTTCTTTCTTCTTTTCCTTTTCTTTTTGACTTCTTACTCTTTTTCCTTGTTAGCCGTGGTTGGCTATAAAAACCCTACAATCGCCACGCAAAGTGGTCATTGGCTACCCCAGCCATGTATTGCTTGGAATAAAATAAATAGAATAAAATAATGAAGTTGATTGTTCCAACTAGGAACACACGCTTCTTGCCGAACTTGATACTTGACTGACTCACGACTGCCATCCAGAGCACACGAGGAGCACGTCGCACCTTCCACTCGGCAAACCTGGAAAAAAGCACCACTTCTAAGTCTAAGTTCGTAGAATAAAATAAATAATGTAATTGTGGTTCCTACATTGCAGGCTGGCAGTAGACATCATAAAGAGTGTATGGTGAGTGTGTTTTGTCTTCATCTGTACATGTACATGTACGCGTGCTTGTTCTATTTCAACTACGCCATAATTACTCACATAAGACCACTCTACTCAGCGTCTCAGGTGTAAAAATACAAGTGTGGCAATGGATCATGTGTGAAAAGAAGACGGACGTGTAATATACATGAGGAATGTCTCACAGGTGGTCGGCAAGAGACCTGCTATAGAAAGGTTTGACAGCACATTCGTTATCTAAAATGTCATGCGGTCATCATATCTATCTCAACCCAGATTGCACGACACAATAGACCTGTCGTGTTCATGGCGTTAGCAGCACGCCGCTGCTACTAGTACATGTACTTGAACAGTGCTCCAAGTGCTGATCTCAAGGCCCACCTACACCTGTTTAGGATAGAGTCAGCTGATATTCTAAGTCTCTTCAATGACTGTATACGTCTTAGTGCTCTGCTGCGTATCTTCATGTACTGGAGGAGAGCCAAGAGAGTTCTGTCACTTGTCAGCAACATGCCTTCGGACAACCTGCATGCCATCGTGAAACGTGCAGAGCAACTACACTCGACATCCCTCACACGGCCGATCAAAGATGTGCTATTGACCAAATCATAGATGCTGTCAAGTACAGACTAATGCATCACAGGTCCAAATGAACCAGACTAGAGCATTATACTGAAGTAGTTGAACTACGACTGATCGAAGGCCAGGATGGCACCAAAATGCTCGCATGTCTTCCCTCTGAATATTGCACAAGGGCTGACGGTGGTCATACATTTATAATGCATGCCAGGTACATGGCGCAACGGGCAACCAAAGACTGCTGCAGCTCTGTGTGTGATGAACAGGGAACACTCATGAATTTACACAACCCACACAGCCATACTTCCGCCTCGATTCACCAACTTGCTTTTGTTGTAGGCTTGGAACATTATTATTCATTATACAAGAATGTCTTCATACATGAGAAGTCGTCCAGTGGAACAAACATCGAAAAAATACCCGTGAGTTGGACGTGTGCGACCCCTGATTATTTGCAGACAGCCCACCATCATTTCCCAAATTTCATCATTTCTAGAAGCTCTTCATTAGTTTCCAAACTATAACATAGAGTAAGTATTCCCGAAGCATCGGAATGAACACGTCTAAAAATAGCAATGGGTGATTGTCCTCTAGCCATGAGCGGAATGACCACAAAACAATACTGAATTCTAAAAAGGAATCAAAGGTATCAAAAGGATTGCCGAGGAATACATAAATCCCTGGATGCTAACTATTATAGGTGCACTCAGTACAACACGTTTCCTGGTTGTATCACACGTATCGTGACATTACCGTGCTGCCCATCTTCTCGGGGTAGTGGCTTGCACATTGGTTTTAGGCGTCGCCCTTTGCTACCTACATGTACATATTAGGAGTCCATCAACAGTGCATTGTATCTCTTGCAGTGCATTGTGTCTCTTGCAGTGCATTGTATCTCTTGCAGTGTATT